CAAAAAAAAAAAAAAAAAAAAAAAAAAAGACAATAAAAATCTGATTACCAAAAGGGGGAGGGAACAAACCCACAACTCTTCAGATTTCTGTACAGAGCTTCTTCCTATAGGTGCCTAAACCATAGGCGGACTCTGGTGTTCCCACTAGAATATGAGAGCCTCACACAACTGGAAGGAAAAATCAAAAGAAAAAACAAGGAAACTGTGGATGGAAGTTAGTGTAAATCCTGCATTTGGGGAGAGAGCAGCTGTCATTAACTCCAGAGGCCAGCATAGTTTCCATGGAGCCCTGAAGGGAGGGGACCTCCTGCCACAAAGAGTTTCGTTCCGGACGAGTCGTAGCAGTGGGTGTAAACAGCATTGGGGAAGAAATCAATGTCCGAAAAGTAATTCCTCCAGGTTTCATCATGATTCTATGGGAAGAGAAAGAGACTTAAGTTAGTACCTCTGGGCAACAGGGCAGAAAAAGGGAGGAAGAGACGAGAATGTTTTCTGGTCTCCTTTAGAGTAAAAGGTCCTGGGGGCTGGCAAGTGGCATGGTGGTTAAGACAGCTGGACTCTCCCATGGCTGACCATGATTTGAGTCCCAGACCTGGCAGCTTGCTTTCTCACTTTCCCCCCTCTCTGTCTCTCATTGGTCAACTTAAAAAAAAAAAAAAAAAAGAATAAAATAATGACAATGAATAAAATTAATGAATTATTAAAAAAAGAAAAAAAGAAAGACCAAAAGGTCCTGTACCTATAACCTGATGTCAGAGGTTGGTCCTCCTGGGAACTGGGAACCTCACTTTGCTCTATTATTACCTGAAGGTAAATCCTAGGTCAATCAATGTGTTTTACTGGGCCTCAGTTTTCCTACTGGCAGTATATAGACCTAAAAGCAAAACCAGGACCCAACCACAGTATATGCACTGGATGCTGCTGCTTGGCAGACTGAGGCTACCTGGAGGCTCAAGTTCGATTCCTGGTCCACCCTAAAAGCCAGGCACGTTGCTTCCAATTCCAGCTATTTGGGAGACTGAGGCAAGAGGACTGCAAAACAGCAAGATCCTGTCTAAAATACCACATGCACACACACACACAAGAAAGAAGAGAGAGAACGCAATCAAGTGAAAGCACCTTTCTCTGCTCTCCAAAGTGTCTCTTATTAGGTAAAAAAGTGTGGGTAGGAGGTTGTCAGCTGGGGTGGGAGTGGGTAGGTAGACAGAGAATGGCTTTTCTGTCACTGTTCAGCAACTATCTCAGATGGGGGGGCTTACTCACCAGCCAGCCTTTGCCAGTGGTTAGTTTCAGATTCTCCCCTGCTAGCCTGGGCTTGGACCCATAACATGCTGAGAGCCTCTCCTCCAGAAATCTCTGAGCTCGGATGTCATAGAACAGCAGGGAGCCCTGCCCTGTGCCCACAGTGATGATGTGCTCATAGAAGCTCACTGACCGGATCCCTGGAATAAAAAAAAGTAAAGGACAATGAGGGAAGGTATGTGTTTGGAAGGCGGCTAGCTAGAATTTCTCCAACACTATGTTTGCATTGAACTCCCAAGTATCAGACAGTGTGAACCCAATGGCAAGCATAGATCACACAAAAGCAAAGAGAATCCTAATGTCACACTGCCCATCCCTACTAATAGGAACTCTTCACAGCCTTGAAGAAATGCCAGATTCCTGATTTTGCCCAAAATGCTTTTGACCGAAGACCGTAAGTGTTCCTGCAACTTCCTTGGCTTCCTCTGGTGTCATCTCTCATAACTAAGCTCTTCTCCATTATGTTTTCAACCTAACTGCAACTTAGAAGAATTTTCACACTCACAAATCATTACATCAATAAAGACTTCCTGGGACCAGCAGTTAGCATAATGCCTATGTCTCTGGACTCCCACGTTAGTCGACTGCAGTTTGAGTCCAAGACCCGGTGGCTTAAACTCACGCTGGGTGCGTGTGCATGCGTGCCCAAGATCCTGAGAGGAGAATGGAGAAGGGATTGTGGTGTGGCCATCCCCCCTGGGGGGTGATTTCTCGCTTTCTGTCTCTCTGTCTCTGTCTGTCTGGCGAGCGCACGTGCCCTATAGCAAAAACCTCTCCAAAAAAACCAAAATAAGAACTTCCTTATTAAGTGTGTTATCAGGGTGGCAAAAACCCCAGAACTTAAGCACCCAAAGGAAGATTATCTCTCTTGCCCACAGTGTAAATTTAAGACTAGTCACCTTGAGGCTGGCAAATGATACCGTGGTTAAGATGCTGGATTCCCACAAGGCCAACCACGTTTTTTAAGTCCTGAACCTAGCAGCTTGCTTTCTCACTCTCCCTTTCTTTCTCTCTCTGGCCAAATTAAAAAATAAATACTAACAAATAAAACAAACAATTATTTTTAAAAATAAGAATTATTTTATTATTTTTTCCCTTTCTCTCTCTCAGGTCAAATTTTAAAAAAATAAGTAACAGAATAAACAATTTCTTTTTTTAAAAAAAAAATGTTTATTTTGGGACCAGTAGTTGGTGTAATGGCTATGTTGCTGGACTCCCATGTAGTTGATCACGGTTCAAGTCCCAGAACCAGTGGCTTAAACTCACACCAAGTGTGTGTGCACCTGCATGCCCAAGGTCCTGAGAGGAGAATGGAGAAGGGACTGCGGCGTGGCCATCACCCCTGGGGGGTGATTTCTCGCTTTCTGTCTGTCTCTGTCTTTCTGGTGAGCACATGCACACATTCTATACCAATAACCTCTCAAAAAAATTGTTCATTTTATTTATTATTTTTTAATCTGGCCAGAGAGCGAGAGGGAAAGAAAAGGTGAGGAAGCAAGCCAGCAGGTCTGAGACTCAAACTGCAGCCGACCATTTGGGAGTCCAGTGCCCCAACCATCATGCCACCTGCTGGTCCCAAAATAAGTAATTATTAAAAATAAAAGACAAGTCACCTAATCACTTTGGGTCACAGAAGATACATCTGTTGCACCCGTGGATTATATATGCGTAAGAAGATGTCTCTTGGTACATAGAGGAAATTAAAAAAATCTGTGGAATCAGTATGTCCGCATTAGGTAGGAAAACTACTCTCATTTATAATAACCAGAATCTCTTAAAACTTTTCATTGAACATACGATTTCAATTATTTATTCATTTCCCTACTACTCTCATTATATGCATTATCCTCCGTTCTAAAATGTGAACATCTTGTGTCCAGCAGGTGGCATAGTGGTTAAGGTGCCAGACTCCCACATGGCCAACTGTGGTTTGAGTCCCAGACCTGGAGGTTTAAAAATCACATCAGGGAAAATGGCAGGTGGTGTGGTGGTTGGGGCATTGGACACTCCCACATGGCTGATTGTGGTTGAGTCCTGGACCTGGTGGCTTGCTTTCTCACGCCCTCCTGCCCCCGTCTCTCTCTGATCAAATTAAAATAAAGAAATAAACAAAAATGAAATAAATAATTCTTTAAAAAAAATCACACCAGGGGCCAGCAGATGAAGTAGTGGTTGTGTTGCTGGACTTTCATATGACGAACCGTAGTTTGAGTCCTAGACCTGGTAGCTTGAAACTCATGCCAGGTGCATATGCGTCTGTGCCCAAGATCCCAGATGGAGAATGGAGGATTAGGGATTGTGGCATGGCCATCCCCACGGGGGGGGAGGGGAGGTGCGGGGTGATTTCTCACTTTATCTCTCATTGTCTCTGTCTCTCTCTCTCAAGAGAGCACACATGCCCTAAGGTAAAAACCTCTTAAAAAAAAAAAGCATACATGGGATCAGCAGTTAACATAATGGCTATGTTGCTGGACTCCCATGTAGTCGACCACTGTTCGAGTCCCAGACCCGGTGGCTTAAACTCATGCTGGGCACGTGTGCGTGTGTGCCCAAGATCCCGAGGAAAATGGAAAAGGAATTGCAGCATGGCCATCCCCCCTGGGGAGTGATTTCTTGCTTTCTGTCTCTGTCTCTGTCTGTCTTTCTGACAAGCAGACGCATCCTATAGCAAAAAAAAAAAACAAAAACCAAACAAACAAACAAACAAAAAACCTCTTCAATAAAAGAAAAAATAAAAGCATACATATAGCAGGCATGTGTGTCCAAGATCCCAGGAGAAGAATGGACTGCGGTGTGGCCATCTTTTCCGAAAGTGATTTCTCACTTTCCCTCTCACTGACTCTGTCTCTCTCTAGCAAGCACATGTGCCCCATGACAAAAACCTAAAAAAAGTATCTTAACTATAATTAAAAATAAATAGAGATGACCTCATGGCCTGGTGGTTTAGGGAGCCAGATCCCACATAGTCAATCATGTGGTTCAAGTCTTAGTCCCACTGGCTTGAAAACCATGCCAGGGGCATGTGTGAGCGTGCCCCAAATCCCGACAAGATGGCACAATGGAGGGGAAAGGAATGCTGCATGATCATCCTCCCTGCAAGGTGGCTTCTCCCTCTTTGTCTTTCTCTCTGGAAATACACACGCCTTCTGGCCAAACAAAACAAAAGGTATATGAATACTTGTACATGAAAAACTCTTGCTTGAAAGAAACAGGCTCAAGTGCTAAAATCCTAAAAGGACTCTTGGGATAACAGCCACGTTTTTGCACAAGAAAGGGGATGAAATGAGATTAAAAAACAAAAACCGAAAACATTTTATTAAGTTGGATGATCTGGATTCTGGCCCCTGGCTATTCTATGAAACTGTGTGATGCTGGGCAAGTTATTAAACTATTCTGGGTCTCAGTTTTATCTGTAAAATGAAGTTAACACTATCTTTTCCTACCTGCTTTCCCCAGGGTTCTTGGTAGGATGAAATGACATGTTAGAAGAACAAAGTTGTTCTTACAGACAATATGCTATAAAGTGTCAGAGGCTAAAGCATAATTCACTGTGGTCAGAACAAAACTCATTTTCTCCAGCTTTATTGAGGTATAAGGATCATAACATATTGTGTGTGCATATATACATGTATATACTGTAATTCTGCTATAGGATGTATGCATTTATCAGAGAGACAGTGACACAGAGACAGAGAGAGAGAGAAGAAAAAAAGTTAGAAAGCACCCTCGGGATGGATGGCCGCACAGCAATCCCTTCTCAATTCTCCTCTCAGGACTTTGGGCGTGTACACAGGTTTTTACGCAGTCAGGTCCAGGACTCTAATCATACAGTCAACTATGTGGGATCTACCACATATATATTTAAAGTAACAATTTGAAGTTTTGATTCATGTATAATCTACAACATCACCATTATAAACTACTGAACCCCCAAAAGTTTCCTCAGGCACTTCATAAATTCCACATCATGCCATCCCTTGGCATAAACTGAATTTTAGTGCAGGCAGGGACCCCAGCAAAAAACTACCAGAAGATTAAAAAGTAGGGCTCTGAAAGAACATGGATATCACTAACATCCTGGTTGGTGGTTTCGACCAATGGTTTCTGTGGCCCCACACTCATCTGTGGGATTTGAAACAATGCTACCCTAACACAGATATTTAAGCTTCCCTCTAATGTTACCAAACACTTCCACTGTTCCATACAGATCACTCTTATTTTGGGAAAACAACAGATACTGAAGGTCGAAATTCATCAGTGGCCCAGGAAATAGCCTGGTGGTTAAGACAGCTGGATTCCTACAAGGCTGACTGTGCAGTTCAAGGCCGGAAAAACACATCAGGTGCCTGTGCATATGTGCCCTAAACCCCAAGAGGAGAATGGAGAAGGGACTGCCTTATGGCCAACCCCTGCCCCCACCCTGCAGGGCGTTTTCTCATGTTCTCTCTCTCTGTCTGTGTCTCTGGTGAACACACACACCCTGTAACAACAACAAAAACATTCACAATGTGGTCGTAAGCCTGAGAGACACACTGGGACTCTTACCACTGCCTCGCTCCCTGGAGCAGACAGACTTGACGTTGTATGATGGCTGACGTGGATCCAAGAAGGAGACATGGGCTTGGGAGCCCACAGCATACACTGACCACTCACTACCATAGGCCAGACACACATTCTCACGGCAGTAGGGCAGTTTGGTGGAGAGGAGCTGAAAGCAGAGAGAGCAGAGATGCACTCATGGTATCACCACAGCATAAGGCAAGGGCACTGTTCTTGGACTCCCACCTCTGTGGGCTTCCCTCATACATAGACTTATAAAAGTCAGAGATAAATACAAGTCCTAATTAAGGAAATAACACCCCTAAGTAAGGAGATCTAGGTGCTGATGAGGATAGATGAGAAGAGGAAATCTGTAATTAAATAATCAGAAGTAGAAGGAAAAGAGCTGGCCTAGTGTTTAAAAGACATTGATCCCACATGGCCAACTGCATAGTTTAAATCCCATCCCTGGAGGCTTGAAAAACATGCCAGGCATATGTGAATGTATGCCCAAATCCTGGCAGAACAGAGAAATGGAGAAGGGGTGTGCTTTCTCCCCTTCTCTCTCTGGTGAGTACATACGGCCTCTGGCTTAAAAAATAAAAAACTTTCCTTCAAGAGAGGTGCACCAGATTCAGAATTTAATGCACCATACAATCTTTGGAGAATTGGTGTTTTAGAAAACAATGAAATGGCTCAGGAAGAATTACAGTATTTTAACCATAGGGTAACTTCTTAGATAGAACCACTAAGTCATGTTCATCCCACCTTAGACAATGTATTTTCAGCCTTCCAGAGATGAAAGTAGCCATCCAAAGATACTGCTCCCAATTCCTACAACAGCAATGAAAACAAGTTACCTTACCATCTGTAGCAATTCATGGACAACAACAGGCAGGGAAGACTCCTGAGGTCCGATCTTCTTTTTATTTCAACCTATCCCATGAGGATTCCAGCAGGGGTGACAGTAACTGTCAGTCTAACACCTTGCTCTCAGGAACACAGTTAGATAGCGTACTAAATTTCTAGAGTGAAACCAAGAAGCAAGTCCATACTTTCAGCAATAACACAGGCTCCCATATTTCAGAAAGTCTTTATAAAGCAATTTCTAGAACATCCTGTTGGATAGTTAGAGCAGAGCATACAGAAGACCTTTTCACAAGTCTTAGTGTGAAGTTTCTATAAGCAGAGGAGCTTACCTGGGAAAGATGAATCTACCTGTAGGCCATAGATATCGATGGGAGATAAGAGACTGAGGGAATTACCCTACAAACTGTGGTCTGACTCAGAGTTTAGAGACACCTTTATCATTTTCTGATTCTAGTCTATTAATATATACACACACTCAAAACCTCAGCCTTGGATATGACTCAATGATTAGGTGAGACTTGGTGGCAATGTGAAAGCAAAGGAGGAAAAGAATAAGAAAAAACTCAATTCCAAAGGGGGAAGAAAGTGTTCTCAGAGGCAAGTATGAAAATCATGCCCAAAATAGAGCACTGGAAAGGGCATATGCAAGTGACAGTCAAATCAAGAGAGTCCGGGGGAAATTCTATGAAGGTAGCCCACAAACATGGAATACTCAAATATTTCAGCTATCTTTTGAAGGGCAGGATTCATACATAGCCATAACCTCAGCTCTGATTTCTCACCAGTATCCTTTGGCCTTGAACAGGTGCTCTGTGGGCTCAAAACCAAGCTATGTAACAAGCACTGACTTGAGTAGTGGAAAAAGGAGTGTATGTCTCAAGAAATAAGCCAAGAGGAATAGGCTTCAGGGATTCCTTAGTTAGTTCATACCTTGTTCTTATTGTTGAAAGCCAAAGCCCGGACCTTGCAGTTGTCAGGGTTTGTATCCTCCTTGGGGATGTCCTTTAAGGCTTTGTGGGTAATGTGAGCATACACGGGGACCCGTGAAACATTGTGCATTGCATCACTTTTGGTCAACACATCATCTGTTACCTCCCAGAGTCCCATAGAACCATCGCGTGAGCCTGTAGGGCAGGGAGACCACAAATGTCAGGTATATTCAATCCTCCATGAGACATTCCCACAAAAGCCAAGAAAGGTGTTTTTAGGCTAGTTGTTTGTGAATCCTACGTGCTGAAGTTTGGTCTAGGCTGTCCCCACTGAACTGGCCCTAAGGTGAATTTCTTTATATTCATGATTTCTTTGGCTGTTCCCATAATCTTGTATAGCCTTTATCAACAAGAAATTTAATGCTACACAGTTGTACAAAGAGTAATAATTGCTTCTTTTCTTTTTTTAATTTGCTATAGGGAGGGAACCAGCAGTTAGCATAATGGCTATGTTGCTGGACTCCCACGTAGTCGACCGTGGTTCGCGTCCTGGACCCAGTGGCTTAAAACTCATACCGTGCAAGTGTGCGTGCATGCCCAAGATCCCGAGAGGAGAATGGAGGAGAAGGGATTGTGGCGTGACCATCCCCTCTGGGGGGTGATTTCTCGCTTTCTGTCTCTATGTCTCTCTCTGTCTGTCTGGCGAGCGCACGCGCCCTATAGGAAAAACCTCTCAAAAAAAAAAAATTGCTATAGGGAGTGTATGCTCGCTAGAGAGCCAACTTAAGCAAGCAAGTGGGACAGAGAAAGTGAGAAAGCACCTTCCCCCCGGGGTGGTGGTGGCCATGCCACAATCCTTTCTTCATTCTCCTTTCGGGATTTTGGACAAGCATGCACCCACACCCACTGAGTTTCTCAAGTCACTAGATCTGGGACTTGAACTTCACAATAAGCCATGTGGGATCCAGCTGGCCCAACCTCCATGCCACCAGCTGGCTCAATAATTGTTTCTAACGGCGAGCATACCAGCTTTCTTTTCCAAAACACTTTCACCATTATTACCTCAATAAAGCCCCACAAAAACATGGCTAATATGTTACTACATCTGATTTTGGGAACAAAGTGGGTATGAATATTAAATGAAGTGTGCCAGTGCTTCCAGTTTGCTAATCAGGAAAATATAAGGGAAATAACTTATCCTTAGTTACACGGTTAGTCACTGAAAGATCCAGTGTTGGAAACGGTATCTCCTGGTCCTGGCCAATGGTTTTTCTGTTTACTGGACTATTTACTATCACACTACCATCTCTTTTCTTTTTTTTCCTTTCCTTTTCTTTCTTCTTCATAATTTTTTTTTTTTTTTTTTTTAGTTTTTGCTATAGGGTATATGTGCTCCACCAGAGATGGTATATGTGTGTGTGTGTGAGAGAGAGAGAGAGAGAAGGAAATCACCCCCAAGGGGAGTATGGCCACACCTCAGTCCCTTCTCTTCTAGTCTCATCTTGGGATTTTGGACACGCACACACGTGCCTGGTGTGATTTTCAAGCAGCTAGGTATAGGACTCGAACTGCAGTCGGCCATGTGGGATCCAGCACTTTAATCTCCATGCCACCTGCTGGTCCTGTACTATCCATTTTCAACCTCTCTACCTCCCTACCACAACAAAAGCTCCCTATAAAAAGACAATTTTACCAGACACTGCCATAGTATCACTGATCCATGCAATGGAAAAGATCCAGTCCTTATGTCCATCCTTGGAGAGCAGTGACAGGAACAGGGACGAAAACAAAAAAGAAATTAGTGAAATAAGGATTGCAATGAACTCTTCTGAAAAACATAACAACTCTGACTAAAAATAAGCTTGTCAATATTGTAACTCCGGTTTCTAGTGATCTCAACCCATAAGGCATGATTCTATAATCTTTACCTTCTGTCTTGAGAAGCTCAGAGCTAGAATGAATTTGGCACCATTATGGGTAATAAAAGTGTTGAGCAGACACATAGCTCTGGTCTTCTACCTCTGGTGTCTTATTTTGGGCTCCTATCTTCTATCTGGGATTTTTTCCTACAAACAGCTACATTACTAGTACCTTTATTTCTTTTAAGTCTCCCTGCTCAAATGTCCTCTTATCAATGAGGCTTTCTCTGATAATTCCTTGAAATAGCATTCTCCAACCCACTTGCTAACCCTCTAGCCTGATTTTACTCTAATCCATGGTACTTATCACACTCTGTCATATTACTGGCAAATATTTGTTGGTTTGTATTTTATCCTTCACTAGAATGCAGGCTTTAAGAGGGCTGCTGTGTCCTCAACATCTAAAACAATGACTGGCTATAGAAAACTCAATAAATGGTTGATGAATGAATGATTTAATAAACTCTGCTGACTATGAGCAGGGAGAAGAGAAATGTGGACACTGTGGATTCAACCAGCAACCCACTGCTGTTGGCCTAATGTGTGCTGCTTGCCTCTTTATCAAAATACACCCTCTGTCAACAATTCTGATATTCCCATCAGTCACTATCCCAATACTTTCATCCCCACACTTCACCTCCATGTCCTTAGAGTCAGAAGAAATCTAGAAGAAACTACTCTCTCCCAGGTGGGAGAGAGTTACCTACCGGGCCCTGTTTAAAAACTACCTACTGCTAACTGTAATTACTGGGAAAACTTACATCTCCCACACACACAGGGTCTAGTGTAGGCAGTCGGTAGATGGCAAGACTGTTGGGGTTGTCTCCTCCTGTGGCTAACAGTGTTCTAGAGGGATTCAGCTCGATGGCATGGATACCACAGCCCTGCTGGGTCACACCTCCAGGCTCCCGGTCTTTCAGAATGGGGATCTTGGTGATCTGGCTTGTCTGGACATCCACTACAAACAGCTACAGAAAAGGGATACAGAAGCTGAAAAAAACTTCCATTTCATGTACTGCATACAAATATTTATTTGTTCAATTATCTGTCAAACATTTAGTTAATGTCTACCACATACTAAACCCTACAAATTAGTCAAGGCACCATCAGGGCTACTAGTCAAATGAAACATTGAATTAAGTAACTATAACGTGTTATAGATATATAGAATATGCTATATGAAGAATAGGAAGTAGTAAATTTTGCCTGGGATTCACAAGTTTCAAAGAGACCTAGCTATAGCTACAAAGAGTCAGGCCAAAACAAAGTTTGTTTTTTGTTTTTTTTTGAGAGGTTTTTGCTTATAGGGCACGTGCGCTCACCAGACAGACAGAGACAGAAAGTGGGAAATCATCCCCGGGGGGATGGTTATGCCGCAATCCCTTCTCCTCCATTCTCCTTTTGGGATCTTGGGCATGCACGCACACGCGCCCGGCGTGAGTTTAAGCCACTGGGTCTGGGACTCGAACCGTGGTTGACTACGTGGGAGTCCAGCGACATAGCCATTACGCTAACTGTTGGTCCCCCTTCTTCTCCATTCTCCTCTTGGGATCTTGGGCATGTATACACACATACACCCAACGAGTTTTAAGCCACCGGGTCCAGGACTTGAATTGTGCTCAACTACAGCACTGTAACCATTACGCCATCTGCTGGTCTCCAAAACAGTTTTCTGCTGGCTGGGGACATATATATTTTTTTAGAGATTTCTTTTCTTTTCTTTTTTTTCTTTATGTGTGCACTTGCCAGGGTGGAAGAAAGAAAGAGAAACAGAAGGAAGGTGAGAAATTACTTCCTAGGAAGGATAACCATGCCGCAATCCTTTTTCCTCTGTTCAATCTTGGGCACACATGCACCTGGCTTGAGTTTCAAGCTGCTAGGTCTGGAACTCAAACTGTGGTCGGCCATGTGAGAGTCCAACAACATAACCATTATGCCATCTGCTGACCCTGGTTAGGGCATATTTTATATATCAAATCCTTACTTACTCATGCATAGAAACTTGTAAACAAAACACAATCCAAGAACACATCATAGTCACTATTAAACACTCCAATCAATATTATTAGAATGACCACTTATCTCTATCATACACGCCATTCTGCTCTATGCCTTCTTGCCTTTGCACATGTTGCTGCCACTGCCTGAAATGCTTTCCTCTACTTTACTGAGTTAAACCTTTTTCAACTTCCAATATTCGACTCAGAGAAATGCTCTAAGGGAAAAAAAACAGTCCGTCTTAGAGAAACAGCATGTCTGATAGAGCCTATTATTAAACTCCTCACATGATTCAATGGTCCATTTCTCATTCATTCATTCATCAGTACTCTTTGCCCTTGTGTACCTTTATGGCCTAGTAAATTCACATAAAATCCTTTCAGCCATGCTCATGCTGAAGCCAAACCCTATCAAACATTTGTATAAACATACCTATTACTGGCACAGAAGGTCTATGAAAGAAAAAACTAGGTGTCTTAAGTTTAAAATATAAAAAGTAGAGTAGCTAGAACAAGAGTGCCAGACACTAAGGAAGGGGAAAGAAAGAAAGAAAAAAAAGGAGGTGACGAAGGCAAGGCAACCATTTGCAAATTCCTAATGTCAGCCCTAACAATAACTAAGGGCAGCAGATCTCATGCCTAACTGGCACATTGCTGATGTGTCTCAAAGACATTTTAAACTCAGAGTGTCTGAATTAAGTTTAAATCACCTCCCTCCTCAAATTGCTAATTTCTTTAATGCCACCACTATCCGCCATCACCCAAGCCTGGATTTTAGCCTAGATTATACCTTCTCCCTCATTCCCATCATCTGATAATCTGATGGTTTCACCAAATCTACCACCTACATATTTCTTTCTTTCTTTCTTTCTTTTTTAAAGTTCTCCAGAGAGAGAAAGAGAGAGAGAGACAGAGAGGGAAACAGAGAAATCAAATATTCCTAAAGCTGTCTCCTTTCTCTGCATTCTTACTCATTAACTCCTCTCCCGGGCAACTACAATTGGTCTTTGTCCCTTCAGGCAAGGCCACCATCAAAATTATTCTCTATATTATAAGCAGAGTTGTCTTCCTACAAAATGGAAATTCTCTCACATCAGTCTCTAAGTTAAAAATATGCAGGGGGACAGCAAGTGGTTTGAAGGTTAAAGTGGCTGGATCTCACATGGCCAAACATGTGGTTCAAGTCCCAGCTTGAAAATCACTCCAAGTGCATGTGTATATGTGCCCAAGTCCCAAAAGGTGAGTGGAGGAGACCTGAATGCGATGTGGCCATTCCCCCAATGGATGATTTCTCACTTTTCTTTGCTGTCTCTGTCTCTCTACAGTGAGCGTATAGCAAAAAAAGGGGGAAAAAAATCCAGTGGCTTTATTTGACTTAAACCTCTGTTCCTGCCAGGGCACAGTATTAAGACTCTCCTTAATCTAACCTTTACTATCTCTCTAGCTTTACATTCTGCTGTGCATTTTATACTTAAGAAATAACTACTTATAATTATTCTGCCGGGGCCAGCAGGTGGATAGCTGATCACAGTTTGAGTCCCAGACCTAGTAACTTGAGAGTCACATAGAGTGTGTGTGTGTGCCCACGCTTTTATATTATACATGCAAGATTCTTCAATGAAATGTACTCATGGTATTCAATGCTACTCTTTTATTTACCTGACTAATAGACACGTATCTTTCATCATTAAGTTCAGATACATCCTCCAACAACATTCTCTAAATATCCAGGCTAACTCAAGCTTCCTCTTGAGGACTCCGTATCCTTCTATCATTAAGAGCCTATCAAACATATTTAAAATATTTACTTGTCTGTCTTCCCTATTAAGCTAACAACTCCCAATTCTAAGAGCAGAAAATTTATCTTATGTCATTTTATAATCTTGTCCTGGCAACGCCAAGCTAGTAAACACTTGAAGTAGCTACTTTTCTAGGGTACCTGCTCAACTACGTTGGAGGTCCATACATCCTTGTAAGGATACGGCACTGTAGCTGTTTATTTGGTATAAGCTCAGAATCTCAGATCACGGTACAGTCTTAGGAGGAACCTTTTGGCTCAGGGAAAACTAGTCCAAAGGCTCAATTAGACTGAGCCATTCAAATTCTCTCAGTAAAATGGAACTGGCTTGTGGAAATGGCCATATTTTATCGAAGCTGCTCCTTAAAGAAAAAGCATTAGACAGGAAGCAGGAAGCATGGTTCCTGGTGCCTTTGCAATTTCTTATTTCATTTCCTTGTGAAATCCAGGGACAACTCTGGCTCTTGGAATATGTGAACTAGTCCTTCCAATAAATGTGAGTGGGTTTCTTTCTTTCTTTAATAATTATTTTATTTAACTTTATTTATTTATTTGAAACTGATCAGAGAGGGTCAGTGAGAGAGAGAGAAAGCAACAAAACAAGCCACCAGGTCCAGGACTTGAACCGTGGTCAGCCATGTGGGAGTCCAGCACCCCAACCACCTGCCGGCCCACTCTTTCTTTTTTTTTTTTTTTCTTTTTTTTGGAGAGGTTTTTTTGCTATAGGGTGTGGGCACTTGCCAAAGAGACAGAAAGCAAGAAATCACCCCCCAAGAGGCCATGCCGCAATCCCTCCTCCTCCTCCATTCTCCTCTTGGGATCTTGGGCATGCACGCACATGCACCTGGCATGAGTTTAAGCCACCAGGTCCGGGACTCGAACCACGGTCGACTACATGGGAGTCCAGCGACATAGCCATTATGCTAACTGCTGGTCCCCACACTCTTTTTTTTTTAAAGAGATTTTTGCTATAGGATGCATGCACTCGCCAAAGAGATAGGGAGACAAAGTGAGAAATCACTATCCAGGGGGATGGTTACACTGCAATCCTTTCTCTTCTAGTCTCCTCTTGGGATTTTGGGCATGCACACACACGCACCTGATCTGTTTAAGCTGCTGAGACTGGGACTTGAACCGCAGTTGACTATGTACGTTGTAGTGACGTAATTATTATGCCACCTGCTGGTCCCGTGACTGGGTTTTTTCTTATCCTTTTAAACAAATGACCCCTAACCAGACAGCTTGCAAAACATTAACTCAAGCAAAATTAACTACATTTACATATTTGTGTTGTATGGATCATGAATACACATTAGTTTCTAGATCAGTGAGTGACTCCCAAACTGATTATTAAAAATAAGCTGGGAGGGACCAGCAGTTAACGTAATGGCTATGTCGCTGGACTCCCACGTAGTTGACCGCGGTTCGTGTCCCGGACCCGGTGGCTTAAAACTCACGCCGGGCACATGTGCATGCGTGCCCAAGATCCCGAAAGGAGAATGGAGGAGAAGGGATTGTGGTGTGGCCATCCCCCCTGGGGGGTGATTTCTTGCGAACGCGCCCTAGAGCAAAGAAAAAAAACTCTCAAAAAAAAAAAAAGCTGGGATTTTTTTTCAAAAACAAAACAATTTCCTGGCCTTACCCTAGAACTTCTGTTAGAAATTTGGGAGTTTGCAGCCACCAAAAGTGAGTATTTTTCAAGGGTCTCCAGGTAAATCTGATGACTTCCCAACTTTAAGTCATGGATCAAAACCCTTGCTACTCAAAGGAACATATGAGAGCCTCTTAGAAATGCAGAATCCCATGCCTGCCCAGATGTACTAAGTCAGAATCTGTAGTTTACCATGATCCCTTAGTAACCCTAAGGTTTGAGCACTGATATAGAGATCTGCTCTGTAATGCAAAAGGTACAATCTGATAAGACTTAAATGTAAACTAACTTTTAACCTGAAAAGATCTGAGTTTCTCCAATGAAATGTAAAAACTAAAACTAAGAATTATTTAAATGTGCCTTAAAGAGGGCTCCATTTCTGCGACCCAGAATAGGTAAAGATGAAAGGGTTCATCTATTTATGTCTAAGAAATTTCAAAGTCCAACCTCTCCAGTTTGGGATTGGGAGAGATTTAGGATTGAATTCTATTAATTGACAGGTTATCTATTATCTGTGTAACC